GTGTGCCGCGAATCTTTGCTGCGTGCTAATTGTTCCGCCGCGTACGAGAGAAAGCGAGTCCACGTATCGCGCGCGGTGAATCGACGTGTAACGCGATATCCTTGTGAGATAGAATATTCCGCGCTGTGTGTCGCGAATATTTTGACGGTAATTCGCGCTGTGTGCCGCGAATCTTTGCTGCGTGCTGAAAAACCGAATATTCCGCGCTGTGTGTCGCCAATATTTTGACGGTTATTCGCGCTGTGTGCCGCGAATCTTTGCTGCGTACTGAAAGACAGAATATTCCGCGCTGTGTGTCGCGAATATTTTGACGGTAATTCGCGCTGTGTACCGCGAATCTTTGCTGTGTGCTAATTGTGCCGACGTGTGTCGCGAACATTTTGACTGAGGTTAAACATTTATTAACACGTCGCTGTGTGCTAGGACGTATAGAAAAGGGAAGTGCAGTGTGTCGCTAACAATGGCGAGACCGCCGAGTGCGTATACGCTTGCCGAGATTAAGGACATTCTCCGCGAGAAGAAGTTGCCGGCGACCGGTAACAAAGCTGACCTGATAGATCGATTGACTGCCAATGACCCGGAGATATGGACCACACTGGATGAACAGAGGTCACGGCAGAGCCGCGGTGTCGATCAGCCGATTGACGCGGGCCATGAATCGAGGGATGCCGTCGCGGGCAAGGACAATGAAAGCCAAGTAAGTAACGACGCATCCGTTGAAGGTCCTTTGACTGAGAATGACTTGATTCGACGAGAAAATGAACTACTTAGAAGAGAACGAGCTCTTCTTCAACGTGAATTAGATATCGTTAGACGAGAGAACATCGAAGATCATGGAGCACCGCAGATGAATGATGGCGGAAGAAGACGTAATGGTCCACCGATGAGCGAAAGTGTAAGGGCTATTCGCGACTTGTTGAGCGAATTCGACGGCAGTGAGGGTACGTTCTGGAAATGGGAACAGCAGGTACAATTGCTGCGAGTGTCGTACGCCTTGGATGATGCGGCGACAAGAATTTTAATAAGCTCTAAATTAAAAGGACGTGCATCCGAGTGGTTTCACTCCAAACCACATCATCTTACCCTTGGTATAGAAAATCTATTGGCGGCCATGAAGGGAATGTTCGACCTTCGTCAATCAAGATTGTCCCTACGCAAGAAGCTCGAAGAGAGAGCATGGCGGACGGACGAATCATTCACGAGTTACTTCCATGATAAAATAATCCTCGCTAATAGGGTACCGATAGTAGATGACGAAGTTGTCGATTATGTCATCGAGGGTATACCTGATCGCAATCTCAGAGATCAAGCACGTATTATGCAGTTCGAGTCTCAGTCGGATTTATTGGAGGCATTTAAAGGATTGACGCTACACCCGAAGAAGTTCCCTGATCGCGAATGGAAGAAACCTATTGATCAAGGAAAAATCCAAAAGGATGGGAAATTGTCGACGAAGGAGAGTTCAGCGTTTAAAGGAAATCCAGCATCGTCGAGTGCAGATTTGGCACCACGCCGAAAGATAATTAAATGTTATAACTGCCAGGGAGTTGGACATCTGGCATCCGCATGTTCACACCCGAAGAAAGTTAAGGGAGGCTGTCATCGATGTGGTTCAGCCAGCCACTTGAAAAAAGACTGTCCCGAGAAAGAGTCGAAACCCGAGTCGACGAACGTTGTGAACTTGATCGAACCGATACCCGTTAGCGATCCGTATTGTGTACAGTTAAAGTTTTCGGTGTCCTTTGAAGGGGATATGGATCGTGAATATACAGTAGACGCGATAGTTGATCCCGGCTCCCCAGTGAGCCTCATAAAAACTGAGTATGTTCCGACGAGTTTGCGCGAACCGCTACCTCCTAACGGCGATTGTTTCTGTGGAGTAAATAAATCCCCTGTTCGCGTAATAGGCACCTTTTCGAAATTAGTCGAAATCGAAAGAATTAATATTCAGCTACGTTTTCTGGTAGTACCGAACGAAACAATGTCGTGTGCGGCATTACTTGGTCGCGATTTTTGTCGAGATCCGTTAATAAAAATCGAACTAGGTAAAACGGTAAAGATTACTAGGAGAAACGAGTCGACAAGCGAGAACAATTTTGATACCGAGATTATGCAAATAGAATATCTCGAAAATCCTGTAAAAGTTGGAGAAGAATTGAATATTAATCCCGGTGTCGAATCGCATGTAGTCGAAAGCGTTCGAAGATTGTATAACAAAGAATACGTTGATAAATGGGATTCGGATGCGAGCGAACCGGAAACCGAGATGAAAATTTTATTAAAAAATGAACAGCCGATTACCTTCCGGCCTAGGCGTTTAACGTATGCCGATAAAGAAAAGTTGCAAGTAATATTAGACGACTTATTGAAAACAGGTACAATTAGGCAGAGTAATTCACCCTACGCTAGCCCAATCGTTCTCGTGCGGAAGAAAAATGGCGAGTCACGACTGTGTGTCGACTTCCGTGAAATAAATAAGATTACTGTGAAAGACAATTTTCCCACACCGTTGATAGATGATCATATTGATCGGTTAAAAGGAAAAAAATATTTTAGTAGTCTCGACTTAAGGAACGGATTTTATCATATTAAGATGTCTGAGTGTTCGGTAAAATACACCTCGTTTGTGACGCCTATCGGACAATTTGAATTCCTACGAATGCCGTTCGGGTTGACTAATGCTCCACGAGTGTTCCAGAGATTCGTCAACAAAGTCTTTGATAAACTCATCCGAGAGAGTAGTATCTTGTTATATCTAGATGATATTTTGATAGCGACTGAAAGTATAGAGGAACACCTAAATATTTTGAAAGATGTATTTGAAATAGCGCGACGATACCGGTTGCAGTTTAGACTCGATAAATGTTTCTTTGTTCGAACGGAAATTGTATATCTTGGGTATTTAATTAATGAAAATGGTATTCGCCCGAGTGAGCAACATGTTGAAGCCGTAACTAATTACCCAATCCCGCGAAACATAAAAGAGACGCATCGATTTGTTTGTTTAGCTAGTTACTTCCGTCGTTTCATCCCGAAATTTTCAGTAGTCGCTAAACCGTTATATGACTTAGTCAAGAAAGATGCCGTGTTTAAATTTGGTTCAGAGGAGATCAAGGCCTTCGAAGAATTGAAACAGTTGTTATCTTCTCAACCGATACTATCGATTTATTCCCCGACACTTGAAACAGAATTGCACTGCGATGCGAGTACAAGTGGTTTCGGCGCGATACTTTTACAGCGACAAAAGGATGGTATTTTCCGGCCTGTATTTTATTTTAGTAAACGGACAACAGTTGTCGAATCCAAGTATCACAGTTTTGAGCTGGAGTGTCTCGCTGTGATTTATGCGATTAAACGGTTTCATATCTATCTCGCCGGTATCCCTTTTAAGATAATAACAGACTGCGACAGTTTTCGCCTTACTTTAAGTAAACAGACAGTTAATCCGCGAATATATCGTTGGGCATTATTTTTAGAGCAATACTGTTATCAAATCGTACATCGACCCGGTACACAGATGAATCATGTCGACGCGTTGAGTCGATGTCATAGCATTCTGACATTAGAAGCAAATTCGTTCGACCGAACTTTATCTATTCAACAAGATCGGGATGTAAATATAGTAAACATTCGAAATAAATTAGAAAAATCTGAGGATAAATTCTTTGAATTGCGAGACGGTCTTGTTTACCGTAAAGATAAGGGTAAAAAACTCTTATTTTATGTACCGATATCAATGGAAAGTAATGTAATCCGTACGTGTCATGATGACATTGGCCATGTCGGCCTCGATAAAGTTATTGCTAACATTAGGCAAATTTACTGGTTCCCACAAATGAGAGAGAAAGTAAAGTGCTATATTTACTTAATACGTTTTGTTCCTATACGTACGACCGAGACGGTCGTAATGTCAGGCTGGCCGACTGTAGGCGAATTATTATTCTACCGATATTCATTTATATATACGGCAGTGAGCCGTCGTGCGTGTCCTATCGAGTACAGTTTAAACCTAATAAAGATCCTTTGTTAAGATCCACTAGAAGCCTTATTAGAATTACGCCCTGACATCATCTAAAACTATCTGACACCACCTACAACTTAACTTTTACTGACGATAACTCGGCCAATTCAGCAGCGAAATAAAAAGATACTCTGACTGTATTTTAAATTTTTATGATTAAATGAAGAGTTTATATTTCTAAGAATACCGCAAATAAGAAATATATTGATACGCAGGAAAAATAAAAATATAAAAATTTTGTAGTTATTAATTTTTTATTAAATGTATATTAAATTGTAATTATTTTATTCATTAAATATTTGTATATAAAATTTATTTGAATAATTAATCGATAACGCATGGGTTAGAAAAATTTTCTTTATTTCACAATTTTATTAATTTTGTTTGTTATCTTTAGACTACAAAAAATTATTAAAAGGAAAAATTATATGTGGAATATATCAGTTTATCGTTTTTCACCACCAACTCTTATACATCCTCATATTAGGTATAGTGTCTGCACATATAAAGTAAAAACAAAACTTATTCCAAAACCGGTTTATATTCGATGTGCATAACTTTGAGAGTTATATCATGAGTATTTATTTGATTAGGAATTAAAAATAGCGGAAGATCCGATGGCGCTGATGCCATTTAATTTTTCACTCCCAACTTTTGCCGAAAAAAAAAAAGTTTCAAAATAATTCATTTCAAATTTATCAAAATTCACCAGACGGTCGTTTCTAATTCTAATTCGTTTCTACGTAAAAAAGCTAAAATTTAAGCCCTAATACGACTCTCTACTCTTAAGTGAAAAATGGGCAGCCCGTTGTGTTTTTGATCCGAAACGTCCGATATTGTATATATAATTACAACTTATAGTAATTTCATGTAAATTTTGTAACAGCTTTCTAAAGTTCTACAAATATTGAAATTTGAAAATAATATCAGCCACTACAATTAACAATATTACATATATTTAAATATATGTCAAGGATTGTAGCATATAATCTTATTTAAATTTGAAAAAGCAACGAGACAAAATAATATGATTTTGCTACGAAATCCGAAAATATGTATGAATTATCATTATTAATCTTAAACATAAAAATCAGCATAAATAAACATGATTTCCATTTTCAAATACAAATTAAAGGTCGGTTAAATCAGTGTGACTTGCTCGTCCGGAAGAACTCATCTTCTCCTGTATGACTATTTCTTTTAACGTGGTAAAAATGCTCGCCAATGTTACATTCGATCCGTGTCAAGCATTTGGCGACAAATCAAAGCCGAATCGCTTGAATAACATGCGCTTGATTCTTTTTTTACACACAAATATGACAAAGATGCACAGACTCTGCATAATGTCCAGCGAATCAACAACATACAATACAATGTAGTAAATTGGTACATTTTTAAATGTTTCGTACGCTGCTATCACGAGCAATTCTATGCCCATTGCGATAAACAGCACGATAAATAGCTTCAGATATAGGTTAAACCTGCAAACAAATATATAATTTTTATAGTTCTTGTAAATATATATGATGAAGAAAATTTAATTAATGTATAAACTTTAAGAAATTTTTGAGAGAATATTTTAAAATTTTTATTTTTGTGAAATACAGGTGCAGTCATTAATTTGATTATTGTTATTAATTGTCATTTCGTTTAAAATTGCATAAATTTCGAAGAAACACGTAAAATGATATATTCTTGAAAATAATACAAAATAAAAAAACGTGATGGGCGAATAGAAAAGATGTCATCTGCAAATGACAATCTATGGCCAGTATTCATAATCTGAATTTTATTTAATATTGTTTTAAATCTGATTTTGACATAAAATTCCATTCAACCAACCAAGCTCGGATTTAAAATTAAATATACGATCAGACGATTAGTTATTAATTCCGGCTAATTCCTCTCTGTTATAAAAAAAAAAAAAAAATGCGAAGCAATCAATTATGCGATGCTGTTTGCATAAATGTTAATATAAATAGCATAAATTTTATTAATAAAATAGATTATCATATCTCAATACAACGATATCTGAGTACATACCATTTTTTATTATCGTTAAAGCATTTACTCTCCGAATCTTTCAAAAAAGAACCCGATTCCTTTTTGAAACGCGCAATTTTTAATGCCGTATAAATAGATAAACAAATGCTATTGATGACGCACATACTTTGGAGCCCATATAAATACAACACAAACGGACCAGTTTCTGTAAGTATAAAACATCATAAGTTTTTATACTGTTTCTTACAATATTAGAATGCTATAGTATTAATAAAGTTATCTTCACTTACCAATGAACCAGCAATATAAATGAAATTCCGATCGCAAAATCCGTGGTATATTTACATACGCAGAAAGAATATCCATGCTGACACATAAAATAGCAAACATAAAAGGACATCCCCACGCAAAGATTGTATAATACATCAACTTTCTTTTTTCTCGTTGTCTGACGTTTTTTCGTAACGAATTGAATCCTCTGCAATTTACACAACATATTTAACAAACAACTCATAAAAAAAATTAGAATGTAAAAACGTTAAAATATGTTTTTGATAAAGTCACTATATCATACTATAGAACAAAGATTCAGCTTGAAGAATCCATTCTTAAAATTGCTGTACAATGATTTTTAACGGTGTTATGAACGATTAAATTAAAAATAACATTTTCTCTTTAATTTGCGATAACTTTTGATAAAGAAAAATCAGGATTTACGTTTTAAAAAACAATTTTGCACGTAAAACTTCAGACTGTAACATGGAAATGTCAAGAAATTTTTCAAATTTTTTTGTGCATGCGACACGTCTACAAAGTGAGAAAAAATTTTCCATTTCGTTATGTTTTTTGTTTTTTGTATATAAAAAAATAACAAAATTTAAGAAAATGAAAAAAGATGTCAACCACTGAAAGTAGAGATTTCACGTTTTAAAACTCTTTTTAAAGTTTAAATTCTCATTATTCGAAACAAAGTTATATCTATTTAAAGTTTGCCTATTCTTGGACAATTGTTTTTTATTATCTTTTTTTATGCCTTAATTATTTTAAAAGTGTTTGTTTACATAACTATTATGCAGACACGACAATGATATTAAAATTTTTATTTACTTTTAAAAGACAAATTAAAAAAAAATCTACTTTTATTTTCTGAAAACATATCGTGTATTACTTTATTTTATAAAGCAATATAAATAAAAAGAGGAAAAAGTTAAATATCAAAATATTATTGCATTATATCGAATTATTAGATTTCGTTATAATATTTCATACATATTTAAATTAAATATATAATATGCTTATTATATCTAATACACTACTTTTTCTTTAAAAAATTAACCGTTTTAAAAATCTGTAATCAATTAAAAAAATATTCAAGAAAATTATTTATTTCAAATTATAATTTGAATCTATTATCTTTATACTCTAACTTATAATGTTCTAAATATAATTGTTCTATTATTATATATTATTTTCAAATATATAATTGTTTTTGCACGTACCAACACAATATATAAAAAAATTCAATTAATACAGAATTTTGCATATTCTCCATTTTTATCTTTAAACTGATATATGTAAAATCAAAAAGAAAGAATTTTATAAAGATAAATGAAAGGCAAGTGTTAAAATAAGTAGTAATAATATAGAATATTTTCCAACTTACCTGAATGTGCACCACATATCAAAGCTTATCATAATTAGCCAAAAGAAACTCGCCAAAGCACAAAAGTAGTGTAAGAAAGCTGCAAAAATGAATAAAGACACTCTGTATTGATAATTAATAATATATTATTTATATAAATATAAATGTAATATGTAATTTGCATTTTAGTTGAAATATATAAGGAGCAAGAAATAAGTAATTTAATATATATTCTACTATTATAACGCAAACAGAATACGGTATATCATCCGCTCTGATCATAACATTCACAATGTCAAGGCTGTAATCAACAATCAGGGCACCGCTGTAATTGCGCAACATAAAGCCGTGTACATTTCGGAGTTCTGGCAATATGGAATACACCAGAAATACTGACCCCAAAAGTAATACAGATACTATATGAAAACTCGAATATATAATTTGTTTGTCATAAATCATAGACTTATTATCAGTAATCTCCTTGATCTTGTCATAAGTTTTGGAACAAATGGTTACTTCGAACTCATTCCCGTCGACGACGACGAGACAATATAATGTCGATTCAAGTAATATTTCATGAGGTAAATAAACAGAACCGTTGGTAAAAATCTTATAATCGTACTGAAAACCTTTACGAATCAGATAGTAATCTTTCTGGCACGATTCATAAATGGACAGCTCAAACAATTCGTTCACTCTCTTTTCGCTCTGCGTCGAATCATTCGTGTATACGTTTGAAAAATGTATTCAATTTCTTCAGGAATGCAGTTGCCATGAACCAAACGATCGCCAAGAGGACAGCAGAGCCGAATGCAAGTATCATTATGACACATTTCGTTTGGGACGATGATAGTTTCATTAGCATCTTTGCTGGAATTTTTGAGGACTTCAAGTGACATGGAATCATTCTTTTCAATTACATTTTCATAAACTCCCTGAGCCGTGAAATTCCTTTTATGATTGACATTTGTCGAATTCGTGTTAGATTTATCAATTTTTGCTCATCATTTTTATTGTGTATTGAATGTTTGTAACGTTTATGTTGAATCAAATCATTATCCTCGCGATTATCGTTCGTATGAAATTCTTTGTCATTTTCTATATTATTCATAATCTTTTTATGCAAATCATGTCGCAGTGTTATTATTTTGTCGTTATAATTTGTTGTAGAATCCGTATTTATCTGGTATCGTATCGTCAAATTATCATTTTCGTTGGTGGAATTTTGCTGCGATTTTGATGACGAAATGACGAGAAGAAGCACGAAACACAGAAATGCAAATACCTTTCCACTCATTATTTCACGTAATAATGAACATTCGAATAATTAGATAATCAAATTTAGTGTTTATTATTTCTCATATAAGTTTTAAATTCTCAATAAATAAAAAATGTAACATTAAATTTATGCACACCTTTGCTTATTTATTAAATGCAATATGATATGTCAAGTACAAAGTATAATAAAATTAAATTATCTTATTTTGTTTCTCAGCAAAATCTCGAAAGGTCGATCAAATTTTATCACGATTACTATTAATATTGATGATTGCACGTCTTGAATTTTAATTATCTCACTAGATAAAGTTAGTATTTATTATATCACTGTATCCGGTTTTTTTCTGATAGAAGAGTGCACAAGATACATGTTTCTGCGCGGGAGAGAAGCTAAGATTACCGAGCACGACGAGTTGTCGATAGGTTTGCAAGAAACTGTCCATTTACTATACTATATAAGACTATACACATATAGCTTTTACATACTATATACAAGAAAAATAAGAAAAATTATTGAAACTTCTACTGACGATAGCTCCACCAATCCAGCAGCAAAAGAAAAATGCTCTTGACTGTTTTTTAGATATTTAATGCTTAAATGAAGAGTCATTATATTTCTAAGAATACCGCAAATAAAAAATAAATTGATGCAGCAAAAGTCAAATAATAAAAATTTTGTAGTTATTAATTATTTTTTAAATATAGTTTAAATTCTAATTATTTTATACATTTAAATATTTGTATATAAAAATTTGTTTTGAATAATTAATCGATAACGCATGCGTTAGAAAATTTTATTTATTTCACAAATTTATTAATTCCATTTGTTGTTTTTAGACAACAAAAAAATTATTAAAGGAGAAAATTATGTTGAATAAATCAGTTTATCATTATTCGTTTAATCTTATACATTATCATATTAGGGTATAATACCTGCACATATAAAGTAAAAACTAAACCTATTCCAAAATCGGTTTATATTCGACATGCATAACTATGAGAGTTATATCATGATCATTTATTTGATCAGGAATTAAAAATAGCGGAAGATTCGATGGCGCTGATGCTATTTAATTTTTTCACTCCCAACTTTTACCGAAGAAAAAAAATATTTCACAAAAAATTTGTTGAATTCTTCAAAATCAATAATTGAAACTAATAATTACTAAAATATAAATTATATTAAAAAAATAGTAAGTTACATCAAATTATTGAGATCATAAAAAATTTAACATTTCAATTATTTAAGTATTTATGTTACAATAATCTCATGATAAAATATTTAATTAAGTTATAAAAATTATACTAATATTATGCATTTTTATTACAATTCATAATATTAATAAATAAACATATTTTATTTGATATATGTATAATAACAATTTATAGTAATATCTTGCAAACTTTATAGCAGCTTTCTAAAGTTTTACAAATATTGAAAATTGAAAATAATATCAGACTCATTGAAACTTCTACTCTTGATAGCTCGACCAATCCAGCAACAAAATGAAAATACTATTGACTGTTTTGTAGATATTTAATGCTTAAATGAAGAGTCTTTATATTTCTAAGAATAGCAAATAAGAAGTAAATTGATACGCAGCAAAAGTCAAATAATAAAAATTTTGTAGTTATTAATTATTTTCTAAATGTATATTAAATTGTAGTTATTTTATTTATTTAAATATTTATAAAAATTTGTTTTTAATAACTAATCAATAAAGCATTTGTACGAAAAAGTTTATATATTTCACAAATTTATTAATCTCATTTGTTATCTTTAGACTACAAATAGATTATTAAAAGATAAAATTATGTAGATTATATCTTTTATCAGTTTATTATTCGCCAACTCTTATACATCATCATATTAGTTATAATGCATGCACATATAAATTAAAAACAAATTATTTATTCCAAAACCGGTTTAGATTCCACGTGCATAACTTTGAGAGTTATGTCATAATTATTTATTTATTTGATTAGAATTAAAAACAGCAGTAGATCTGGTTGCGCTAATGTTATTTAATTTTTTATTCCCAACTTTTGATGAGGAAAGAAAATCTTTCACAAAAAATTTCATTGATTTCTTCAAAATCAATAATTGAAACTAATAATTAATTACGAAAATGTAAATTATATTGAAGAAAATAGTAATCTAAACCAAATTATTGTGATTATAAAAAATCTAAAATTTCAATTATTTAAATATTAATGTTACAATAATCTTATGATAAAATATTTAATTAAATTATAAAAATATAATAATATTATGAATTTTATTACAATTCAAAATATTCATAAATGAACATATTTTTATTTGATATATGTATAATAACAACTTATAGTAATATGCAAATTTTGTAGCAGCTTCATAAAGTTTACAAATATTGAAAATTGAAAATAATAACAGCCTCTACAATTAACAATATTATAAATATTTATATCAAGAAATGTAGCATAACCTTATTTGAATTTGAAAAAGAAACGAGACAAAATAATATGCTTTTGCTACGAAATCCGAAAATATGTATGAATTATAATTATTAATCTTAAACATAAAGATCAGCATAAATAAACATGATTTCCGTTTTCAAATAAAAATTAAAGGTCGGTTGAATCAATGTAACTTGCTCGTCCAGAAGAACTCATCTTCTTCTGTATGATTATTTCTTTTTACGTGGTAATAATGCTCGAAAATGTTGCATTCGATCCGTGTCAAGCATTTGGCAACAAACCGAAGCCGAATCGCTTGAATAACATACGCCTGATCCTTTTTTTACACACAAATATGATAAAGAAGCACAGATTCTCCATAATGATCAGTATATGAACAATATACAACATAATGGTGTAAATTAATTCATTATCATATAATAATAACACTGTTATCATTAGCCAATGTATGCCCATTAAGATAAACAGTACGATAAATAGCTGCAGATATAGATTAAACCTGCAAACAAATATATAATTTTCATAGTTCTTGTGAATATATATGATGAATACAATTTAATTAATGTATAAACTTTAAGAAATTTTTGAAAGTGTTTAAAATTTATATTTTTGTGAAATAAAGTTGCATCCTTTAATTTGATTTTCGTTATTAATAATCATGTTATTTAGAATTGTATAAATTTTCGAAAGAACACGTAAAATAATATATTTCAAAAATATTACAAAATAAAAAGTAAATCGGCGAATAGAAAAGATATCATCTGCAAATGATAATCTATGACCAGTATACATAATTTGAATTTATATTAATATCGTTTTAAATCTGATCTTGACTTAAAATTCCATTCAACCAATGAAGCTCGAATTTAAAATTAAATACACGATCGGACTATATTAATTTTATTAATAAAATAGATTATCATATCTCAATACAACGATATCTGAGTACATACCATTTTTTATTATCGTTAAAGCAATTATTCTCCGAATCTTTCAAACAAGGACCCGTTTCCTTTTTTAAACGCTCAATTTTATTGCCGTATAAATAGATAAACAAATGCTACTGATGACGCACATACTATTGAGCCCATAATAATACAACAAATACGGACCAGTCTCTGTAAGTATAAAATATCATAAGTTTTTATACTGTTTCTCACAATACTAGAATGCTATAGTATTAATAAAGTTATCTTCACTTACCAATGACCCAGCATATAAATAAAATTCCGATCGCAAAATCGGTGGTACATTTACATACTCGGAAGAAAATCCATGCTGACACATAAAATAGCAAGCATAAAGGAACATCCCCACGCAAAGATCGTATAATATATCAACTTTCTTTTTTCTCGTTGTCTGACGTTTCTTTGTAACGAACTGAATCCTCTGCAATTTACACAACATATTTAACAAACAATAGATA